GATAAAGAAATTTGTTTAAGCGATTAAATTCTTTTAAATAATACTACGCGCTGTTTGGCGCGCTGACGCGGGCCGCCCCGAAGCTAAACAAATTTAATGTTTGAAAGAGAAATAATGTCAATGGATTTTATTTCGTTTTTAAAAAGGTAATAATGTCATTTCGCACCAGGGTGGGAAATAAAGTCAATTGACCTTATTTCCGTTGATCTTATTACCTGCCACCAATTAAATTTCCTGCAGGGCACGCACACACAAACACACACAAATGTATGTAGGTAGCCAACTAATTTTTGAGAATTCCCCGAATACAACTATGAAATTACCCGATTTCGCTCGAAATTTTGTTAAACTCCCCACCCATAGATATCTCCTTATTAAAGAAAAAATGTATTTTGATATATTGCTGGTCTTTCTGTTTATTTTATTTCTAAATGTAATTTATCTATTTACTCAAAAATCAAACTAAACTTTTGTAAAGTTAGGTAACAAATAAAACATAAAAAATGTAATTATATAATGCTTATACACATACAGTAGTCGCAAAAATTTTAGTCGCAGCAAATTTTGACAAGTTTTCATAATTATTATTTTTTTGTTATCAAATTGAGTTATTTTTTTTATAAAAATAGAGTTCATTTAAGTTTCAAACTTTATGCAACATTAAAAAACAAAAAATCAACAAGCTTTCGTATAAATTTCGAGCTTTTTACAATGCTATTATCAACTTGCAATGTTGTATGTCCAGACCACCATACTATAAATATAGCAAAGGTATTTATGGCAAACCTAGTCTAGATATCAACCTCGTCGTAGGTATCATATCAAAGACATACAATTAGAAAAAGTCTAGAGATAGATGTCGCCTCGCCAGAAGAAGTAAAAAATATGTACTACAACGGAAATGGACGACACGCCATTTCTTTAAATGAAATTAATTGCTGCTATATGTATGTATGTAGGCATATACAAAATGTGAGCAAACAGCATTTTGCTTGCAGTCTTCTGTTCTCTTTTCACTGCAAGTTGAATTATTTTAGTATCTATTGCAAAACTTTATATAGACCAGACTAAAAAGTATAAAATAAATTTAAAAAAACTTATTAATGTACCACGCTTTTATAAATGGACTAAAATTCGAAAAAAATGAAATAAAGGTTTTGCATGTATTTTTATATGGAAAAAATAAAATTTTTCGTAGAGATGGTATATAATTCTCGAAAGTCAATATTTTTCGATCAGAAAACTCTGGTTCTCTTTAGGATACTTTCAATAATAACATCCAATTACCTATATTACCATTTTTTAATACTAACGATTTTTTATTTGTCGCCCCATTGCATTTTTCGGGGTTTTTGGTAGACCTATAAATTATAGTTGCAATGAAAAAATGGTTAAATAAACAATTGGGTATTAAAAATATTGATTTTTAACTATTCTATACCATTTCTACGAAAAGTTTTTTTCCCCATATAAAATACTAGCAGACCCGGCGAACTTCGTCCCGCCCAAAATTTTTATATATTTTATTGAAACTTTTTGGTCCAAGATTTTCACCAACAATTCACGTTTACAATTTTCATAGGCACATTCGTCTGCTAAGATTATGGTTTGGTGGTCATCTGCCGCTTTAAACAACCTAAGGAAAGTGTTATATCCGTGAAGAAGTTCTTGAAATTCTCCAGTTGTGCGGCATTTTATAGCACGGTTATTCGCAAAGCGAAATAAATTTTTTCCTCTTCACTCCCTGGCGGCAACAACCCGGTTCTATAGTGAATGTCCTAGAAGCTTTACAGTATAGTTGGTGGCAATTTCAAAATGGGTACGAATCATTGTTCTACAGAAATGCAATATACATATACTTATTTCAGACGAAATACCTTAAAAGTTTGAACGCATAATAATATTGGAAAATCACAGCCATTGGGCCAATCGCAACGCAGGAGCGTTCGATATACCCAATGGTGCAACAGGTCGATTTAATCTGACCTTTTTATTTTTTTTAATTTTAGTAATAGCTCGACTTCAGCCCCACTTGGCAGCACGTTTTTGCAATAGTATTGCATACATATTTAAAACATTAGCCAAATCGGATCATAAATAAGATTTTTAGTAATAACTCAAATACAGCGCCAACTGTCGGACTAAATTGTGAAACTAAACCATCCAGAGACCCACTCAAACACACAAAAAGTTTCGTTAAAATCCGTACAACCATTTAGGAGGAGATCACTCACAAACACACCTACAGAAGAATAAAAAAATTCATTCAAAAACAGCTAAAGGTCGGTACGTTTGTAGGCCTCACACCCACTTTTCAAATAGCCCAAATTTTCTCCATGAGTATGGGCTTGATTTCAACTACATACATATCTCCACATGAAGTTCCAGTACTGTACCATGCATACATTCAGAGATATTCCGTATACAAATTCGATTTATATGGGAGGTTCCACGCCCCCCTTTCCAACAGCTGCCCTCTTTCTTCATGAGTATGCGATTGATTTCGTATATCTCCATACCAAGTTCCAGAACTCTACCATTAACACTTCCAAAGAGAGGCAGTATGAAAAATTCGGTTTGTATGGAAGATGCCACGCCCCCTTTTCCAATAGTTCCAATTTTTCCTCAAGAGTTGATTGCGTGTATCTCCGTACCAAGTTCCAGAACTATACCATGAACACTTCCAGAGATATGCAATATGAAAAATCTGGTTTGTACGGAAGATGCCACGCCCCCTTTTCCACTAGTTCCAATTTTTCTCAAAGAGTATGCGATATATTTCGTACATCTCCATACAAAGTTGCAGAACTCTACCAAAAAATTTCCAGAGATATGCAATATGAAAAATTCGGTTTGTATGGGAGATGCAACACCCCTTTTTACAATAGCTTAAATTTTTCTCCAAGGGTATGCGATTGATTTCGTATATCTCCATACCAAGTTCCAGAACTATACCATGCACACTTTCCGAGATATGTAGCGTGAGAAATTCGGTTTTTATGGGAAGTGCCACGCCCCCTTTACATATAGATTTTTTTTTAGCCTAAAACCATCCTTGGGACACGTGCGGCAGGTGGCAGTTTCAAAAATATCGGTTCAGCCGCTCTCGAGCCTTGCGAAAACTAAAAAACGGCTTTAAAAATGTATATCAGTTGAGATTTATTATATATTATAATTATATTTTGACAGTACCGTTGTTTCTGATTGGCGCAAAAAAATCTTCGCCCCTTGATATGGTCGTTGCTCAAAGCTATTTATATTCGAAATTGCATGAAAATTGGAAAACAGGAATCTATAAGCTTATCCAGACAAAAAGCTACCTACGTACCGAATTTTAAGCAAATAACAGATTTTTTCGAATAGATCGGTCCCAGGTCCACTTCTCGGAAAAAATGGATCATATATGCTAATATATGCTACTTACGTACCAAATTGTAAGCAAATCGGACCATAATAAGATTTTTTCGAATAGATCGGTCCCTGGTTCAATTCTCAGAAAAAATTGATCATATATGCTAATATATGCTAAAAAGCTACCCACGTACCGAATTTTAAGCAAATCGGACCGTAAATACGAATTTTGCGAATAGATCGGTCCCTGGTCCACTTCTCGAAAAAAATGGATCATATATGCTAATATATGCTAAAAAGCTACTTACTTAAGCAAATCGGAC